GTGAGTGATGGAAAATGAAGAATCCAAATTTCGAAGTTTTTCGAAAAATCCAGATTTCCTAGGCGCAATCACCTATACAGATGTTTAGAAGACTTGAAATGAACCAACAAATTTTGTTTTTTCTATTACTCCAAATAGCAAAATTTCGGTGTTTACAGCATAAGGCAGCATCGAAGAATACCTGTGAGTGATGGAAAATGAAGAATCCAAAGTTTGAAATTGATCCAAAAATCCAAATTTCCTAAACGCTATACCCAATACAAATGTTCAGGAGTGATGGAAATTGAAAAATAAAAATGTCAAAATTTTGTAAAAATCCAAAATTTCCTGATACTTTTTGCAAAATTTTTTTCCTGAAATTCGGAAAATTTCGTTATTTGCAGGCTAGTGCAGCACCAGTGAATCTCAGGAGTAACTGAAAATGAAGAATACAAATTTCGAAATTTTTCGAAAAATCATAAAATTCCTGATATTTTTATCAAAAATCATGTTTTCTACTGAAATTTGGAAAATTTCATTATTTGCAGGTTGATGTAACACCAGGGAAGCCTCAGGAGTGAATGAAAAGGAAAAATCCAAACTTCGAAGTTTTTCGAAAAATCCAGATTTCCTAGGCACAATCACCTATACAGATGTTTAGATGACTTGAAACTTACCAACAAGTTTTGGCTATTGTTTTTTTCTTACTCCAAATAGCAAATTTCGGTATTTGCAGCGTAGGGCAGCATCGAAGAATACCTGTGAGTGATGGAAAATGAAGAATCCAAATTTCAAAGTTTTTCGAAAAATCCAGATTTCCTAGGCGCAATCACCTATACAGATGTTTAGAAGACTTGAAATGAACCAACAAATTTTGTTTTTTCTATTACTCCAAATAGCAAAATTTCGGTGTTTACAGCATAAGGCAGCATCGAAGAATACCTGTGAGTGATGGAAAATGAAGAATCCAAAGTTTGAAATTTTTCCAAAAATCCAAATTTCCTAAACGCTATACCCAATACAAATGTTCAGGAGTGATGGAAATTGAAAAATAAAAATGTCAAAATTTTATCAAAAAACCAAAATTTCCTGATACTTTTTGCAAATTCTTTTTCCTGAAATTCGGAAAATTTCGTTATTTGCAAGCTAGTGCAGCACCAGTGAATCTCAGGAGTAACTGAAAATGAAGAATCTTCTTTGTTTTTTGATGTGTACGTTGGTTGATAATTTTGTTGATGTGTCCATTCGTTGATATCTTTGTTGATGTGTAGGTTGGTTGATATAATTGTTTGTTGATGTGTACGTTGGTTGATAACTTTGTTGATATGTACGTTGGTTGATATAATTGTTTGTTGATGTGTACGTTGGTTGATAACTTTGTTGATATGTACGTTGGTTGATATCTTTGTTTGTTGATATGTACTTTTGTTGATGTGTATGTTTGTTTATGTATACGTTGGTTGATGTCTATGTTTGTTGATATTATGGTCTATCTGGGGAATTGTTGACGTGGTTAGAAAATTATCTGTCCAACAGAAAACAGAAGGTTTTCATTTCAAATTCATTTTCCAATATTGGTGCTATTAAAGCGGGTGTTCCTCAAGGTTCTATACTTGGACCACTATTGTTTTTAATTTATATCAATGATGTCGCTGACGTTTTGCGCTCAGCGTCACGTCTTTTTGCTGACGATACCTCTCTTTTGAGTACGTCATCTTCTTGTAACGAGATAGAAACTACTATAAACAACGACTTAGAATCGTTAAATAACTGGGCTAAAAAATGGTTGGTGAAATTTAATCCGAGCAAAACGGAAGTTATTTTTATATCAAATTCAACCGAACTAGATGGGGATCTTGAGTTGAAATTTGATAATGCGTTTCTAAACTTTAGTAATTGTCATAGGCATTTGGGTGTTACTTTTAATAATAAAGGGAAATGGGGTGACCATATTGAAAATACATATATATCTGTCTTAAAGAAGGTAAATGCACTTAGGAAATTAAAGTATATACTTAAACGTGACACGTTGTTAAAAATATATAAAACTTTTATTTTACCAGTTTTGGAATATGCTAGTGAGTTATGGGATGGTTGCAGTGTTTTTGAATCTAATTTATTGGAAAAGGCCCAACGTGAAGCAGCTCGAATTATAACTGGTTTACCTTCATATGCAACTAGTGATTCTCTTTATTTGGAAACGGGATTTGAAACACTTTCCGATAGACGTAAAAGAAGAAAATTACAGCTGCTATATAAGATGAAAAACGGCTTAACACCTGACTTTCTCAACGATATATTACCCAATACAGTTGGGGAAAGCACTCCTTACCCTCTGAGAAACAGAAATGATCTCGTAATTCCATATTATAGACTCTCATCTACTAATTCGTCCTTTTTACCCTCAACCTAATGTTCATGGAATGACCTGGAAAATTCCTCTAGATCTGCACCTTCTTTTGCGATGTTTAAAAAATCTATTACACCTGATTTAAAGCAGTTACAACCTCCTAAGTATTTTGGATTTGGTGATAGGAAAGTAAACATTATTCATACAAAGTTACGTCACCAAAACAGTTCCTTAAGATATGATTTATTTAGAGTAAATCTTGTAGAAAATCCTGAATGTGTATGTGGTAACCCGTGTGAAAATGCATTGCACTTTTTCTTTGAATGTCCTCGTTTTGACCTTCAGAGGCGTGTTCTATTTGATAGTCTTGATGGTATGCATGTCAATATTAATATAAATTTACTACTTTCAGGAAACAAAAATCTGCTCATAGACACAAATATTATGATTTTTAGAAATGTGCACCATTTTATTAAAACCAGCAACAGATTTTAATTTCTTTAATTGTAATTAAGTAATACAGTATAATCGGTCCATACCGACCCCTGTCTATTTCGGATCATTGTCTATTCCGGCCTTACTTTTGTTAGACTTTTCTCTCTTATAGTTGTTACAAACCAGCCAGCATTTTGATCAAGTTTGGACAGGTTATACTTATATCTATAGTTATATATCTTATTATTTTAGTTTCGGAGAGCAATGCCAACAGTTATATGTTTTGTCTTTTTCTTAATGTGACCTGTACTTTTGTTTGCCAAATTGTGTATATTGAAATTGTTTTGGGAGAGGGCGTCGATAATGTTGATATAACTTGTGCCCAATCCCTTTGTTATTCTGTGGCAATAAAATATGTTTAAATCATGTTGATATTTATTCTTGATAGTATATGCTTTTTGCTTTATTAACAAAGTCGCCATGGTAGGTCAAATCTTGATGATCAGGGGAATTTTATTGTAAATTATGAATATGATAAATGTGCATATTCACTTTTTGGAACTTTATAAATCTCTTGACATTTCATTATGATAAAAAGCCTTGTTTACACATCTACTGTAGTTGAGGTTGATTATGAAGCCGCACGTTTGTCCAAGCTCTGATATAATACTTTCTGTGACAAATCTGATATATGACTTTTTTCTTAAAAATTTGAAGGAATATCAACTGAGATATTGTTTTTAATATTTAGGATTTTCTTTTAAAGTGCTATTTCATAATTTAAGATAAGTTAAAGAAGAATCAGTGAATTACATATTTCATGCTTTAACATGAGAATGTTTTCAACAATACGGGCCATGCTAGGATTCTTTCATGTAAATCTTTCATGGGTGGTCGTGTGGCGCAGTGGTAACGCACTCGCCTTTCACCTAGCCGACCGGGGTGATACTATTTACTCAAGTATGGAATTAATATTATGTGCATTTTCTATTTTCTATTTCTGGAAAGCAACATCCCTGAATCCCATCTTATGATGTTTACATGTCAGAGACAATTCGATATTCAAGGGCCTGTTCCCGTTTTCGTGCAACTGACGGATGAACTTGTAACACAGGGTTTCAGGTTGATGAAAATTATGGGGAGGTTTTATGTTAGCTTTATTGATAACATTGCGAAATATTCTATTCCTTTGTCCAAGGTTTCCATGACGGTTGTCGTCGATGAAGCTTACTCCTTCAAGAACGCCTGATCTTATTCCCCGTGTATATTTTAGGGGTCTGTATTTGCTTTGTTTTGTCACAGCTTTATTGAATTTGGATTATGATTATGTTGACATGTTGGTGTATTCGTATTGTTTTTATTAATATTTCGTCCTGGTTACATCGAATTTGAGTTTAAGTCTTTTGACATGAGAGTAATTACATTGGTGTTAAATTTTGATACCATGTCAAGCATAAATGACTTCTACGCGCAGGTCCGTCATGGTATGGTAGATAATGACATGAAAACACCGAAGTTTTATATTGTATAAAATTCATTATATATTGAAATCAAATACAATCATGAACATTGCATAGTTTTTCCTAACCACGATCTCTTATCACAGCTTGGAGACAGAATTAATAGCCGACCACCCTAACCGGTCACATTACTTTCTGTTAGTACAAGTATAAAGAGGAAAACGGTCGTTAGAACAAGAGGCCCAAGGGTCTGAATAGCCATGTGAGAAATATTTCAGTGAATTTGACAAATTTCAGTCGATTTGTCTACTTTTGACACCATCCATCAGTCCCTGAGGTCCATCTCGCCCAACATGTCTATATAAGCAAACTGCCATCCAATGGTTTTAATTGAGATGTCATTTAAAGATCTCATCACATTGGACCCCTGTGACCTTGAAAGTAGATAAAGTTCATCCATATGAACAAATATTGGAAGCCCTTCATCGCAATATGCTTTACGTCAAATATTATGACCAATGGCCTCTTGGTTTTTGAGAAATAGTTTAAAGATAACATTTCAGACAGACTTGTTCTTAGCATTGCTACTAAGTGTCATATGAAGCCAATGTTATATAACTTCTGTAGTAAATAGACACAATCTTGTCTTATCATTGTCCTTTTTGCCAAGGTAAACGGAAACTCAATATACTGACAAAAAGGGGACTGTTGTTTGACTATGATAATGATTGCATATGTTTATTTAAAGTAACAAGTATAAACTATCTACTATTCAGTTATTTAGCTGGACGCCATAAAACATCGTACGGCCAAGAATCACTGGATTCTACTGAGAGTCGTGCAGAAGGATTCTCGACACGGTATGGTTCAAATTTTAAGTCTTTCATGCGCTTTAGTATATCGCCTCCTGACGACATCTTTCTGTGAAACTCCCATTCCATTATGAACGCCTGAACATCTACTGCTTTGAAGAACTTTTCTGATTTAGATATAGCTTTATGTTCAAATCCTTCAATATCCATTTTTACTATAACCTTAGAAAAATTCTTAAAAACAGGAAGTTCCACAAGGTCGTCCATTGTAATAGTGTCCACTTCTCCGTACGTGCCCTGAGCGCGACCTTCCTTTAGGTCTTTAATGTGTTTAGAGTCCACATCGACATACGTACCGCCCATATTGTTCTTATCAACACCAAGTTTAACCCTCATATGCCCATCGGATATTGCGTTGTAAACAATAGTGACGTCATGCTGCATATCTCCAGCTGTGACGGAAGCACAAAGATGCTGAATGTTTTTGTCTAAAGCCTCTACGGCTAGTACTTTCCGCCCCATTTTTGCGATAGCTAAAGTATGTACGCCTATATTAGCACCGATATCAATTAAGTTCAAATTTGAATCGGTCTGAAGTAGTGCTGCTATTCCGTTAGTTTTTGCAGCCTCGAAATGACCAGTCGTTTTAATAACTCCAGAAACCCAAACGTCACTTGCACTCTGATATATGAATATTGGAGTATCTCCAAACTGTGTTTTTAAGGTGGCTTTTGGGAAATTAATACATTTATTGCAGACGTTTACGTTCAGCTTCCATTGTGTTGAATAGCGACTGTATACATTTGTAGGGTTAACACTATATGGACATTCAGATTGAGCTGTCAATGCAACTTGATCCATCTCCATCTCTGAAACTAACGTATTCTTCGGTACAGGTCTACTAATGTTCTGGCCAGTCTGCGCAGATATACGATACACAACAATCACACCAACTAGAATTAGCAAGGCTAAAATAGACGTAGCCTTCAGGTTGAGTCCTCCTCTAGGCATTGTGAATGAGGCTTGCAGTCAGTTCAAAATCCTGAAAATGGACAGAAAAAATTAAAATTAAAAATTATTGGACTGAATGCATAGACATTAATTAGTTTGCAGTTCAACATATGTAAAATCATGTTCAACAAGTATTGCAAATGATGCGAAGAAAATGACCTCTCTTGGCTGCCCAAATGTCGCTTTTAATAGGTTTGAAATGAATGATCTTGGTGCTTGCGGTGATCCTGTGACAGTTACCTATCACTTTAAACAGGTTTTACAACAATCGATTCATTACGGTGTTCGTCTCTTTAGATTGTTTTGCGACCTAGAAAAGCAAATGTAGTGTATGGATTTTCATTTTTGCGTTTATTAAAATCATGTAAGTGAAATTTAGAGGAGAGTAAATGTTAATTACAGATTTACCCACATATCTCTGTCGCCTGAAATGAAATGTATTGCGTCATTACTATAAGACGACAAAATCGCGAGCGTCGCCGCACAAGATCTTGAACGTCGGGTAGAACATCACATATACATCTCTAGTGAGGTCTCGCTATTGGAAATTTGACTGATGTGCTTTAGCTAGCGAGGTCTCGTTATTTAACATTTGACAGGTGTACTTTAGCTAGCGAGGTCTCGTTATTTAACATTTGACAGGTGTATTTTAGCTAGCGAGGTCTCGTTATTTAACATTTGACTGATGTACTTTCGTTAGCGAGGTCCCCTTATTGGAGATTTAACTTGTGTACTTTAGCTAGCGAGGTCTCGTTATTTAACATTTGATTGGTGTACTTTAGCTAGCGAGGTCTCGTTATTGGACATTTGACTGGTGTGCTTAAGATAGTGATGGTAATGAAAATTTGACTGGTGTGTTTTAGTTAGCGAGGTCTCGTTATTTAACATTTGACTTGTGTGTTTTAGCTAGCGAGGTCTCGTTATTTAACATTTGACTGGTGTACTTTAGCTAGCGAGGTCTCAATAATGACAATTTCAATGATGTACTTAAGCTATTGATGTCTGGATATTCGACATTTGATTGATGTGATTTAGCTAGCGAAATCTCGTTATTGGACATTTGATTGGTGTACTTTAGCTAGCGAGGTCTCCAAAAAGAACATTTCAATGATGTACTTAAGCTATTGATGTCTCGTTATTTAACATTTGACTGATGTACTTTAGCTAGCGAAGTCTCGTTATTGGACATTTGACTGATGTACTTAAGCTAGCGAAGTCTCGTTATTGGGCATTTGACTTGTGTTATTTAGCTAGTGAGATCTCGTTATGTAACATTTGACTGGTGTTTTTTAGCTAGCGAGATCTCGTTATTTAACATTTGACTGATGTACTTTAGCTAGCGAAATCTCGTTATTGGACAATTAAATGATGTACTTTAGTTAGCGAAGTCTCGTTATTGGACATTTGACTGATGAGTTTTAGCTAGCGAGGTCTCGTTATTTAATATTTGACTGGTGTTTTTTAGCTAGCGAGGTCTCGTTATTCAACATTTGACTGGTGCATATTAGCTAGAGAGGTCTCGTTGTTGGACATTTGACTGGTGCACATTAGCTAGAGAGGTCTCATTGTTGGACATTTGACTGGTGTTATTTAGCTAGTGAGATCTCGTTATGTAACATTTGACTGGTGTTTCTTAGCTAGTGAGATCTCGTTATTTAACATTTGATTGGTGTACTTCAGCTAGCGAGGTCTCCATAATGAAAATTTCAATGATGTACTTAAGCTATGGATGTCTCGTTATTTAACATTTGACTGATGTACTTTAGCTAGCGAAATCTCGTTATTGGGCATTTGACTTGTGTTATTTAGCTAGTGAGATCTCGTTATGTAACATTTGACTGGTGTTTTTTAGCTAGCGAGATCTCGTTATTTAACATTTCACTGATGTACTTTAGCTAGCGAAGTCTCGTTATTGGACATTTGACTGGTGTGCTTTAGCTAGAGAGGTCTCGTTATTGGGCATTTGACTGGTATGCTTTAGCTAGCGAGGTCTCGTTATTGGACATTTGACTGGTGTGCTTTAGCTAGAGAGGTCTCGTTATTGGGCATTTGACTGGTATGCTTTAGCTAGCGAGGTCTCGTTATTGGACATTTGACTGGTGTGCTTTAGCTAGCGAGGTCTCGTTATTGGACATTTGACTGGTGTTATTTAGCTAGTGAGATCTCGTTATTTAACATTTGACTGATGAGTTTTAGCTAGCGAGGTCTCGTTATTTAACATTTGACTGGTGTTATTTAGCTAGCGAGGTCTCGTTATTGGACATTTGACTGGTGTTATTTAGCTAGTGAGATATCGTTATGTAACATTTGACTGGTGTTTTTTAGCTAGTGAGATCTCGTTATTTAACATTTGACTGATGAGTTTTAGCTAGCGAGGTCTCGTTATTTAACATTTGACTTGTGTACTATTGCAAGCGAGGTCTCGTTATTTAATATTTGACTGGTGTTTTTTAGCTAGCGAGGTCTCGTTATTCAACATTTGACTGGTGCACTTTAGCTAGAGAGATCTCGTTATTTAACATTTGACTGGTGTTATTTAGCTAGTAAGATCTCGTTATGTAACATTTGACTGGTGTTTTTTTAGCTAGTGAGATCTCGTTATTTAACATTTGATTGGTGTACTTTAGCTAGCGAGGTCTCGTTATTGGACAATTGACTGATGTACTTTAGCTAGCGAGGTCTCGTTATTGGACCTTTGGCTGATGCACTTTAGCTAGTGAGGTCTCGTTATTTAATATTTGACTGGTGTTTTTTAGCTAGCGAGGTCCCGTTATTGGGCCTTTGGCTGATGCACTTTAGCTAGCGAGGTCTCGTTATTGGACATTTGACTGATGTACTTTAACTTGCGAGGTCTAGTTATTTAACATTTGACTGTTGTACTGTACTTCCAATAGAGCACTCTAACATTAAAACTGCGTTTCGAATGTTACAGCATGTCAGCAAAAGTCTATATAACCTATACAGAATTGTTCATCATTCATTTACATAAGTACCCATATATATATATATATATATACATTCGTTCTTTTTAAATATAGGTGTGTATCTATTGTTTTTACATATACATGTTTATCGCTTCTTTTTTCACATACATGCAAATCTATTTTTTACACATACATGTATATCGCTTCTTTTTAAATATACATGTTTATCTATTCTTATACATATACATCTATTAATTTACATATACATATATATCTATTCATTTACATATACTTGTATATCTATTCTTTTTTACATTTACATCTATTTTTTTTACATACACATCTATATCTATTCTTTATACATATACATGTATATGTATTCTTTTTAAATATACATGTATATCTATTCTTTTTTCAATATACATTTATATACACAGATATATTTATTCTTATATCTTTTCTTTTACAGATACATGTATATACTTTATTTTACATATACATGCAAATCTATTATATATGTGTGTGTGTGTGTGTGCGTGCGTGCGTGCGTGCGTGCGCGCGTGTGTGTGTGTGTGTGTGTGTGTGTTTGTTTGTGTGTGTATTATTTTTTACATATATATGTATATAGACTCTTTTTACACATACATGTATATCCATTCTTTTACATATACATGTATATCTATTTCTTTGACACATAAATCTGTTTGTGAAATGGTTTTAAATGGTGAACAAAGATTATGATATGATTGTTTGATGCCATAAACATCAAAATATCGAGATTTCCTCCTCTTAGTTGACTTGTGTGTACTTTAACATTTGATAATGATAATCATTGAAATAAAGGAGCGAATGACTTCAGAAATCTGGCACTGAACTGGCTAATGTGGCATCTTGATTTTTCTCGTGATCTATGAAAACTTACTTCTGGCTTCAAATATTATTTCATTTTCATTGACAAGTATTATTCAAATGCTGGAAAACAAGCAATTATTAAGATTTGATAAAGCAGACTATTTCTGTTTTATAGAATTATTTTGTTTTGTAAAATGAACAACAAACTATATATATATATATATATATGCATCTTATAAGGATCAAATAACTTTGCAGTGCATTGGCTAGTTAGAGACAATTTTCTTAAATCTATTGTTTTGCAGCGTAAAAGTAGTTCGAAAACTATTTTTCTTCATTTCGAGGCTTATCAGATTTACCATATATAAATTTAACTTAGAGATAGAATACATTTTGAATATATAAACTTTTACGTTGAAATAGAATGTATATTGAATATATAAATTTTACCAAAAGATAGAATACATATTGAATATATAAATTTTACCTAGAGATAGCATACATATTGAATATAATAAATTTTACATAGATATACAATACACATTGAATATATAAACATTACCAAAAGATAGAACACATATTGAATATATAAATTTTACCTAGAGATAGAATACACATTGAATATATAAACATTACCAAAAGATATAATACATATTGAATATGATAAATTTTACCTAGAGATAGAATACACATTGAATATATAAACATTACCAAAAGATAGAACACATATTGAATATATAAATTTTACCTAGAGATAGAATACATATTGAATATATACATTTTACCAAGATATAGAATGCACATTGATTATATAAACTTTTACCTTGAAGATAGAATACATTTTGAATATATACATTTTACCTAGATATAGAATGCACATTGAATATATAAACTTTTACTTAAAGATAGAATACACATTGAATATATAAATTTTACCTTGAGATAGAATACATATTGAATATATAAACTTTTACCTTAAAGATAGAATACACATTGAATATATAAACTTTTACCTTGAGATAGAATACATATTGAATATATAAACTTTTACCTTGAGATAGAATACATATTGAATATATAAACTTTTACCTAGAGATAGAATACATATTGAATATATATATTTTACCTGGAGATATAATATATATTGAATATATATACTTTACCTGGGGATATAATATATATTGAATATATATACTTATATAAACTTTACCTTGAGATAGAATA